TCCAAACAAAACAATGTCCCCCAAAAAACACATCCTGTTTTTAGACAGCCCGTTTCACCTCTGGTCAGTGGAGAGTGACAGCCTTCTCTAGCGTTGGAGAGAGAGTGTTGGGTTTCTTTCTACAGTGGTCTTAAATAGGGATGTTGAAATCATGTCTAGAAAATTGTATTGGCTTCCACTGACAATAAAGGGAGATGATGTGAGTAGCATAGTCTAGATGACAAACTTTTATACAATAAATATTAGGCAAGAGGAACACAGCCTCCTGATTCATCAGTTCTCTTCTTTCATTTCTCTAATGGTGCTGCTGACACTGCTGACCAGAGTTAGTGCTTTTAAAAGAATTTACTTAAATGTGTTCAGAGAATATGGCATCCTGCTCTTCCATTAACTTCATGTTCTCCACAAGATAGCAGTGCTGTTACTCAGAAGTATTCCATAGAAAGAATTCAGTGTTTGGGGTATTTATTAGAACAGTCTCTATTTTTCTGCTGTATATTGGTCATAGGAAAGACTAAAATGAAAGTAACAGACTTGAGGAGAATAAAATTAGAAGATTTTTGTAATTTTCTGAGAGAAATGCATTTTGGCATTGGAAAATGGGAAAAATAAGAAGCTTTTATTTACTTCACGCAGCAGCAAGCTTCAAACACTCACATGGAAAAGAAAAATCTACGTGACTGGCTGGAAGTATGATATTAAAGGTTGATATAATAAAAGTGCTTCATATAGCACCTTAATATGGCTGCAAGTCTATAAATGGCTGAGACATTTTCCTAGACTTTTGTAGTCATCTTCATATATTGTGCAATATTTATTCTGTCAGGCACCATGTGTTAATTTTTTTTTTGCAATTCAGTGCACACATTTGGAAACACTTCAGTGTACCCCAAATTAAAGTTATTCATCAAGACAACAAAGCTAGTTTGCTTAAAGATTCATGGTTTTTCTTCTGGAGAAGAAAGTTAACAAGCAGCTCTCCTGCTATATTACTGATGTTTAATATTGACTCTTCTACTGACCAGTATTTAAAGATCACGTACTCACTGCTTGGTCACATTTAACATTCTATCAAACTTTGTACACTGTATATTTGCAGTTCACAAATATATGGGGTAGGTTGACCCTAACTGGTAGCTAAGCCCTCACCCTGCAGTGGGATAGGGGAGAGAATTAGAAAAGCAAAAGCAAGAAAATTTCATGGGCCAAGATAAAGGCAGTTTAATAAGTGAAGGGAGAAAAATAAAAAAAAGAAAAATCACCAATTGATGCAAAGGCAATCACTTGCCACCTCCCACCAGCTAACTGATGCCAGGCCAGTCCACAGGTAATGGCTACTTTGGAGAAACTCCCTCTCCTTTATTGCTGAGAGTGACCTTATCTGGTGCATAGTGTCTCTTTGGTCAGCTGGGGGCAGCTCTTCAGGGTGTCTCTCCTCCCCGACTTTTGCCCATCCCCAGCCTACTGCTGGGGCTTGCAGTGAAAAAACAGAGTAGGTCTTGATCCTGTGTGGGCACCACCCAGCCATACTGAAAACATTGGTGTGTTGTTAGCATTCTTTTGGTCAGCCGTCTAAAACAAGGTACCATACAGGTGTAGTGAAGAAAATTAACTCCGTGTGGGCAGTCCCAGTACAATATACCATCTGAGTTAATGCTGCAATCATTTTATCAGCAGCTTATTAGCAGTTAGCAGCAACCATTCTTAGAAGTTAGGGACAGAATATATTTAGGAAGAGATATATTTACTTTTCCTAACTTCACAATATCATATAGGGCTTTATCAGCAAAGTTAGGGAAGATTAGAATCTCCTTGATGTTCATCTTAGTCACTCTTCAGTTGTCCAAAAGAAGTCTATTGTAGTCAACTTCTTTCATAGCCTCCAAGTCCAGTACTTCATTTCAGATTATGTATCCCCAAACTCTAAAATGTATACGGGGAAATAAATGAGAAAAGATACAGTTTTCATATCAGTAAAAATCTTAATTTGTAGGGTTTTATTGTTTTGTAAACAATAGCTGAACATTCAGCATTGATTAAATCTGGTGGTTCATAAAGACATTTTATATACATTTCATTGTTATTTGGGATTCAGAAAAAGGATATTTACATGCAGTACCTGAAGAGACTTTTAAAAAGGTGACACTATAAGTACCTAAGCACCTTGCAAGAGGCTGTAGCTGCTCCATTTATTTATTTTTTGTTCTTTGACAGGAGCTACTAAAACAAATCACCAATGTCCAAGTGGTAATTACAGTTAGACTTCTTTGTTCTCGATTAAAAGTGATTTGTCATTTAACAAAATCAAAGGCTGCCATTTAGTTCAAGTACAGACAAAATGTACTTGTGTAATAAGCTGCACTCCCTCGTATTTTAGGCTGTCTTTTAATCATGTCGTGAAATCTAGATTTTAAAAGGCACATACATAATAGGGAATTGGAGTATTAGCATCGTTTGTTCTTAAATTTCAATTATATAGTATTGTTTCCTTTCAATTCAGTAGAAGTAATTAAGTCTATCACGCTGGTGGTCAATCCCCAGACGCAGCTTGTGCTGCTACTTACTTCAGAAATACATTTTACAACAGACTTTAGAGTAGCTATAAAGAAACAAAAATTGTCAGTCAATCATTACAGCAGAAAAACCTTGGCAGAGGAGTAGGAAGGACTGAATTATGTTTACACAGGTGTGCACCCTGATAATGTTTGCTTTGGTTGAATGAGCCTAGGATTTCATTGGTGGAGCAAAAATAAAAGGTTAACTCAATGGGGCAAATTCACAATGATTAAATTTGTTCTAGATGTGTTCCAAGGAAACCGAGGAATGCTGTTGAGAAGTTCAATTTGCAAGCTTGAAGTCTTATTTCATATTACTTTAGAAGCCTAACAATCCATAATCCTCTGCATAAACATGTTTATGCCCAATTAAAATACGTTGAGTCCCATAATCTTTGTACTGCCTTGTTCTTAGAACTGAAAACTCTCACACTCTCTACCTCACTGTTATTTGAAAATAATTGTTGAAACTTATGTTTCAGATTCTCAAATATCATAAACTGTTGTAATTTTTTGACCTCAGAGGAAACAAGACTTTACATAGGCACTTATTTAGCTTTGGTACATATTCATGCAAAAGTTCAATAAGATGACTGCTTCCTACAGTTTTGGACCCCTAAAGAAACTATGGACAGAATATATTGTTTCCCCAGATATCTCATAAAACTTGAATGTGAATCCTCAAAAGAATGAGTAAGAAAAATCAATATTTGGGAAGAACACAAAACAACATACATTTTTAAGAGTCATTACATGAGCAGTAGTACTGATATGCACAAAATGTACAGCTCACAGTTGGGAAGGTGTTATTTCAAGGCAATTTATCCAAAAAAAGCACGTATCATGTTGTTTGAAACATAAAGTCCATAAGGAAACAACCTCAGCCTCAGTACTGTGTTACTGGCAGAAACCCCATCTTGACTGTGCTGCCTTTTTCCCTCACCAACTCATGCATGTGACTACCACAGGAACGTATTTTTGAAAAAATGCTTGGCTGTTCCTGAATTGCACAAAACTTTCAAAGATGTGGTTAGGCAAAAAATAAACATAAAGCAAACAAACAAAAATTCCTCAAAAGTGTGGCAGCCTGTAAATGTTCCCAAGGAAACCAAGTCAGCATGCTCCTGCTTGCTGGTAATGTGGTAGGTGTTTGCAAAATGTATGAACTTCTCTGATCAGAAACACTATTAAAATATCTCAGCCCAAATCTAATTTGAACTCTTGCAAAAACGATAATATAATGATGTGAAAATTTAGGAAAGAATTATTCTGGTTATGCAGAATATCTTCTCTGTTATTTTGACTTTTTTTTGGAACTAAGCTACAGTAATATAATCTTTTTCTGAAGCTTTAAACGGATGCTGTTGCACTGTGCTTTCATTGTGTATGTGATCATAAATGAGTCGCTGAATTTTTCTTCATATTTACAACTGGACCTCATAATGTTTTTCATATGCCCTTCATTAATCTCGTAGTGTAAACCCAATTTAAATATACCACATAATGCTATCATGTCACAGTATTATATTATGTCATTATTTTTCGACTAAAATTCTGGGGAAATGAACAAATGACTTACAAAATTCAGACATACATTTGACATAAAAATCAATGTAACACTAACCTTTATGGATTTTTTAAACCACCATATTAAAATTAATTCTCTGTGGTTTCCCAAGTTTGTAAGCAGAGGAGGAAGAGATAATGTTCTAATGTCCTTTGGTTTTTTGTAGCCTATTTCAGAAGAATCTAACTAAGAATGGATTATTAAAGACATTTTTGGACATAAAGGTCTGATGTAGACTGAGACCTTAATTTTAATTTCAGCTGTCTTAATGGATTATTTTATGCAGGTTCTGTGGGACTTTAAAAAAAAAATTACTACCCTCACCCACTCCCTGAACTGTTCCTGTCCCTCTTTCTTTCCCCTGTTCCTTATATGTCTGGACAATAAGTCAGGATTTGGGGGCAGGAGCTCCTGTAAAATTTCATTTAATGATACCATTTAACTGGGAAGTGTCTGCTGCATAATGCCACAATTTAAACAAGTTAGCCATATGAAGAAGACTAATTTCTTGTGAGAATACAGTCTACAAATATTGTAGAAAATATGAGGACTTTTACTTAATGGTTTTGTAGACAGGTATGTCATGTAGTCTGTGAATCATCACATGTTTAAAACACCAGCAGACCTTCCTAAAACTTGGACTGTTCTAGGGATATCAGCAGCAGGAGCTTTTTGGGCAAAATAATCCATTAGAAGCACATCTTATTTAACAGTGTGTCCTGTTTTTCCTCAGATTTCTGAGGGAATACCTGAGGACTGATCTTACTCCTTTCAATACAAGAGAAAGGTGTTAGAACATCATAGTTAAAGTTGCAACTAAGCTGCTAAAAGAGATGGTTCTGCCCTTCCCTCTTCATGGTTGCTTATTTCCTCTTTCCTCAGGGCGGTACAACAATCTCCAGTGAACCCTGCAGTGGCTCTGCAGTGAACCAGACTGGGGAACTGAACCTGAAATGGTTACTACTCAGACACGTTTTCCGAGGAGTTCTGGCTCATTTCCCTGCAACAGCTCAGCATGTGTTAGGGCAGGTGGCAGCATGTGTCAGGGCAGAGGTAGGGGAGCAGCACCCATCCTCGCAGTAGGGGCAGAACTCACCCCAGTCTGAGCTGCTCTGCAGACTGGAATGCCAGAAAAACCCTTGGGATTTATTTGGGTCTATTCAAAAGGAGTTTGAAGTGAGGTGTTGAAGAGTGATTGAAAAGCTGTACTACACTCTAGAACCTCGCAATACCAGAATGTCTTGCAAAACTTGGCTTGCTGTCTTGTTCTTAGTCATAAAGTAAACAGGTCCAGTAAAGTAAATGGGAACTGTGTTATGTGCTTGCACGATTTTACTCCATATGAGGGAAGAATCTCTCAATACATTTAGTTTTTTCTTTTATTACCCCTTTACTCAAAGACCTTTCCTCTCCAGAAGGTGAAACCTTGTGTTTCTGCTCGGACTTCCCTTTCTCACTACTGGACTCATCTCTCCTCCCTTCTATCTTTGAAAAATATTAATCACAGATTGACCATCTGACTGAAGTTCTTCCATGCTCAGTAGGAAGACTGACCATCATTTTCCCTGACAGCCATTTTTCACACCTGAGATAAATGCTTACCAGGTTCCCAGCTCCAGCTCCACAAGCTTGGGAACTGTATCAATGTGTACAAGCAAAAGTGCTGTCTGTCAGGATTGGTGCGAAGATATTTGAGTATTGAAAAAAATGTGTCTTTCACAATGGTTTTATGTTTAAAATTTTTCTAGGAAATTAGTCAGCTTTTTACTAGTTTTTCTTTGAAAAGAAGGTTTTGTGAGGAGAATTTAATCTTATATTGTCTTGACATTTGTTGATTGTCATTAAAAGTTAGATTTTTAGATCCACATAAATTTCATTAAAAAAAATGAAAATGATCAAAACAACCAATTGAAACACTATCCATAATTTAAATGTTCTGTGGAGTTGTAGAGCCACTTAACTTCAACTAGTCTAGGTTCTTTTCTTAGGACATTTCAAGCAGAGTTTTCTGTGAAGTTAGGCATACTTTTCTGGAGAAATAAACATTTGCTACTTCTACTAATACATCATTATTCACATTGCTTGCATATTTATGATTCTGGTTTTGATGACTACAGCCACACCCATGCATGGGGACCAGAACATACAGTTCAAAAAAAGAGGTAATAAAACATTCTTAAGAATTTTCAGCATCATTATATATATCCCCATCACCAGGATTTTTTCATTCAGTAGTTTTTAAAATACAGTACATGCCAAACATTGATCCCAATTCAACTTTTGTGTTTCTTTTTCATGAATAGTAATTAGCTCAGGACTTTCAGTAGTGCTTGAAACAACCATTTCTTCCTCTCAGAGTTGTAAGCATGGATTTTTTTACTACTAGAGGGTTTTGCTCCTGTGGTAGATGATGGTGGTAGTGTTTATTCAGGGATTCAGCAGAATGCTGTTGTATTGTGCACAGATTTGTGTTTTCTTGCATAGGAAATTATAGTGTTGATAATTTAAGTCAAATAGTTGTAATCAGGGTTAGAAAAAATGTCAAAGTTACTCTACATAGATCATTTTATACCCTCTGTGTAATGGACTGGCTTAAACTCACTATGTCTTTAATGAAAGAATTTAATTATGGATACAAAACAATTTATTCAACTTCCAATGCAATTCAGTTCTTTGGGGTAGGGGAAAAGGCAAACCTCAACAATCTCTATAAGCATCTATGCGGTTTTCAATTGTCACAGGATATAGGATGCTGTGCACTCACTGTGCTTAGACTGAGTAATTTAAATAGTAAATGGGATGTTAGGACTACTGTTTCTCATTAATTCTATGTACTTTTATAAACAGGGTAAATATCTGTCCCTGATCTGGTAATGAATCCATTCTGTGAGGAAACTGTGGTGTTAAATGTAAAAATCCAACGATGGTCCTGTTGAAGCAATTACACCATTTCCTAATGACCTCAAAGGAGTGAAATGAAGTCTGTACTATTCTGCTGATTTTCTCGTAGTGTCCAATATGCTCTCAGAAGATAGGAGACTGGTCCAAAGCGAAAACCTATGCCTGGCAGTGAGAGCTGTACCTTGGAAAGGCTGTCATGTGCAGCAATGTGAGAAAAGCCCAACTGCCCTGTAAAAGTAACACAGGATTTGGAAGAACAGCTGTGAAATAAGCACCACTGGAATTCAGAAAACTTCTTACTAAAGGCTACTACAGCTGCTACTTTGTTTCTAGAGCTAAAACACAAAAGAGGCACATGCCTATGATCAAAATATATGAACAGCATAACTTGTTTTGTTATCTGCCTTGTAGAAAAAGCAGGGAACCTATAAACATCTTACCCCATCAGTGCAGAGCGAAATAGTGACACCTGTACAGTAGCACTTCTAGTCTTTACGGAGGTTTAATACATTCTGAGCACAGAATACTTGCCTGATTTCTCATGGAAGTTGCTGTCTCATCTTGCCTCATGGAAGAATACAATGTGAGTAATGAGCTGTTTGTGCAGGACAGGTTCTGCATTGAGCTCTGACCACTGCAGCTCTACATGGCCTTTGCAAAAGCACTTGGGAACTTGCTGTGCCTGTATAGAGCTGAATCCTCCTTGCAATTTGAGTAATGTGAGCACCTATGTGCTTAAAGGAACTTCAGCTGTGTTTTATCTGTTAGGCAGAGCTTTCAGCTAATAAAAAGCAGTCCAAAAGAGGCATGCTTTCAGCAAATATTAGGTGTGAAGAATAACCATATACATTATATATACAAAATTTTTCAAAATTACAGTAAATACAGTACATACCAAATTGGCCCTAACACAGTGTTTGGTGTTCTTGCTTTTACAGTAGCAGTCCTAGGAACATTATTTTTTTCTTTTTAAAGGCAGTTGTATCTCCGTTCAAATTGAGCAGTGGTGAACTTTGCGAGTTGCATCTGCACTGCTAGTGCAATTTGCTTGCTAAATTCATTAACTGGATGGTATAGGAAAAGTCATGCCTTTTGCTACTGCCGAAAAGTAGTAACCTTCACAGAAATGTTTCCATGAAGGATTTTCTGCACGTTAGATTTCAATCCACATAAAACCCAGGGCTGTGATTCTTGCTTTATGCTGTCACAAAGTGTGCAATTGCTCAGGAGAGACTTCTAGAACCATCTGGGTGCAATCTTGTGCAATGCACTGTAGGGTTACCCTGCTTGAGCAGGGAGGTTGAACCAGATGACCCACTGTTATCCCTTCCAACCATACCCAATTCTGGGATTCTGTGATTCCTTGTGCTGATCAGAAGTACCTACTGCCACTTGTGTCCCAAGGGACACACTGCAATACTGTTCTTAATATCTCTTTGCATGAGATCTGAAAATAGTCTTTTGTCATGGCATGTATTTGTGTGCATTTTTAAGTACTTAGTTCTATGGATGTTTAAAGAGAGGAGGGATCAAATCAACATGTTTATGATACAACCTTCTTTGAATTTGTCATTCAAGAAGGTCATCGTAGAATTGTGTAAATTTTGTTAGGCATTAGGTGGTCATCTGTGCTTACTAAAACCTATTTAGCTTCAAAATAAACTTGCTCTTGGTTAGGACTGCCCTTGCAGAACATCCTTTCTGTTCTGCAGGTTCTGCCTCTGTCCTAACTGATCAGTATCTGACTTATGTGCGATAGGGTCAGAGACCTACTTATTAGGGCATCCTAGCCAGTGCTGGAGTTCATACAAGAGTTCATAATAGATAGTCAAAGAACTCCCACTACACCTGATTCAAGTAACTGATCATAGGGAATGGTAAGGGCAGCGAGCAGAAACCTGATGTCCCATTTCTAGGCTGTCCTTATGAAAAGTAGCATCTATCCTCAGGCACCTTTCTGCTGATGTTAGGTCACTCATTTTCTTAAGTCACAGTGTCACTTACACATCTTCAAAATATGGCTTCTGCATATTGGAAACCATGTATTTAGAAACAAATTGATTATGAATTACAGACTGCTTTGGAAAACTTGTCTTAAAGTAATGCTACTGATGACCACTGTTAACTGCAAGTACAAAAAAATGAAGGCTCTTTGGAGGCTGCTTATAAAATCTGCTGCTTGCTGCCTTTATCTTCCTTCTAACCATCACAATAGCTATTAGGTTATTGCAGGCATTCAGTCATCTGTGCTCTTAACTTGCTTATGCCAAAGAGACCTGCCTTTTAGCTTACAGGATTAATAGCTGAAGTATGGGTGCTAACTAGAACTTGCTTGATTTGACAGTTCTTTGGGTTTTTTTTTTTTTGTTTCTAAAGAACAGAGAAGCAAGAATGACTCACAAAACTCAATGCCTTTGTCCAGCCCACAGCAGGAACAAGCAACATTATGAAATAGGTGAAATGCCAACAGTAGAAATGTTCTCTCCTACTGGCTAGAGCAGAGAAAGAGTTTGGGTTTGTCTCACTCATATTGCTACTGTCAGAGAGACCACTAATTACTGTACTCTTGCTTTGAGGAATTCCTGTGGGTTTTTTCCATATAAGGGCTGCAGTTTTTCTCAGCACTCACAAGGAGAATAAAGAGACAAAAGGTATGAGAACCTTATTGTCAAATACCCTCTTTATTGGGGTTTTGCCCAGGAACCACACATCAGTGGCTGTAATACCTTCTTCCTGGTATGTCTTTAGTGCTTTGTCTTTGAAGTCTCTAATCAACACATTTTTCCGAATGTGAAATCACCTGAGATCAGTATTATGCCAGACCCTGCATCACCCATTGATATGATGGCAAATGAAAACTATGCCCAACAAGGCTGTTTCTGTCTCTAGAGATGAAGCAGCTGCTACTTCATAACTAAATGGAATTTATGCAGCAAATCATTTTTTATATGCATTAAAATATTTTAAAGGAAAGCACATCTCAAAACAGAGAATGTTACTTAAAATAAAATCAGAAAACTAATTATCTTCCAGACTCTGACTCTTACAGATTCTG